TGTCACTTTGAATGTACAGTAATTGGCATACTTTAAAAATGAAATTTCATTGCATAAAGCTCTTAAAAGATTCACCACCTCCAACTTTATACTGCATAAATATGACAAGATAAATTAATACAAATTTATGTATATAGCAACATATACGACACGAAGAAACAAGATTACAAGAAACAACTCAGTCTAGTTATACATATTTTTGGCAAGAAAACCTAATCTTGTGAGTTTACCAGGCAGTTGGCATAGGGCAGAGGTCCTCAAACTTGGCAACTTTAAGACTTGTGGACTTCAACTCCCAGAATTCCTCCTCTAGCCAGGTTAGATCAGGAATTCTGGGAGTTGAAGTCCACAAGTCTTAAACTTGCCAAGTTTGGAGACCTCTGGCATAGGGAACAAAGCCGATACAGAATCAGGTAGTCCTGCTATAGATACTTGAAAACTTCCTCCCAGAGGAGAGCAGCAGGAACAGACCGTGAAGTGGGTGTGTGGGGTCTCTTGATGGTTTGAGCTCTGAGCATCAGCAGCATCCCCAAAAGGAGGGAAAGTGGGACTTGGAAGAAGTGGCTGGATGGGGTCACTGAAGCAGTCGGCGTGAGCTTAAATGGACTCCAGAAGATGATAAGAGGACAGGAAGGCCTGGAGGAACGTTGTGCATGGGGTCGCAATGGGTCAGACACAACTAACAACAAGAAAATCAGTATGTTCCAATCATGGGTTTCTTCCCAAGTTTCTGTTATTCCAACTACGTCATATTTACCTTCATGTATTCGTAGTTCGAGTTCACCCTGTTTGTTCCCCAGACTTTGTGCATTTGTATATAGGCACTTGAGATCTTTATGTCTGACGCTGGGCATGGTTCCTGTGCCTCTTACTTGGTGCTTGAATTTATCTTTCTTATCATCCCTCTTTATTTGACTTACTTTCTAGGGGTTTTTGCTTGGAATTAGGATCCTGGAGATCCTAAAGATTGGGCATCCCCCCCCCCCCCATCAATTTTAGTTGAAAGCCCTCCTGATAAGTTGAGCCAGTTGTTTTCCAAAAACATTCTTCCCAATCTTTGAGATACAACCCATCCCTTGCCAGAAGCCCGTCATGCAGGTAGTACAGACCATGGTCCAGGAATCCAAAGTTTTTTTGGTGACACCAACCCTTTAGCCAGTGGTTCACTTCTAGAATTCTTTGTTGTCTTACCAGATGTTGTCCTTTCATTGGCAGTACAGATGAAAAAAAGTGCTCGTGCACCTAAGTCCCTGACTATCTTGCCTAGCTGCTCATAATGATTCAATACTTCTGTCCCATCAAGTTGCATTCACGTCCCACCGAACACAGCAATAGCTGTTGTCCATGATAATCTGTTGTGGCTCTGAGGTTTGAGCCTGCTTTGTTAGAGGACGAAGACTCGGACAGTGGGGAAGAGGAGGTTTTGGAAATGCCTTCCTCCCCAGGACCTTCCTCTTCGGCAATGCCTTCCTCCCTGATTGTGCCTCAGGTGTCGGCAGATAACCGGGAGGGAAGACCTGAGGCTAATCAGGAAAAGGAGGAGGGCGTATCAGAGTCTCTGACTGAGAATCCAGCAGAGGAGTGCTGGCTTGATGCGAGGCAACGGCGTAGGCAAAAATGCGAGCTGCGACGCAGAAAGAAGGGACGAATCAGAGACTGAGCTGAGGGACTGACACGCCCCACAGGGAATAAAAGTGGGTGTGTTCGCTCTGGGAACTTGTTCGGGACAACGTGTTACTTAGTGAGAGAAGCTTCGGTGTGTATTCTGTGTTGTGGCAGCTTGTGTGATTTATATTCCTCTTATCTGGTCGGACTTGGCAGACAGCGTGTGAGAGACTGCCAAGAACTTTATCGGCTCAAAGGAGTTAACTCCATAATTGCTGGATTTGCCTGCCTGTTTGTATTCAGTTGGAAATTTGGACTTCTCACCTCCTTTGTACAGGTGAGACATAACAATAATCTACGCTAAAACTTTTTTTTCGGGTCTCCCAAGAGTGCACTCACTGTCCCTTTCTGCAACTAAACCAAGGAGTGTCCAAGAGGGGAGGGGGTGAATGACATATAAAAGCCAACCTGAAAGAGCACCTCCCTTGCTGGCTGATGGAAGATTGTTCCAGCCAATTTTTAGTCATGTGTGTGTGTGTGTGGTTAACTTTTCGAAACCTGCATTGGCAAATGATTGAAGCTGTAACAGTTAAGCTGTGAATGGAAGGTTCTAATCCTAGTCTGTCCTTTTGGGTCTGATAGGCTACCCCCCACCGTCAGACATTGAGCCAGACACCGTCAGACATTGAGCCAGCAGCTTCTTTTGCAGGAACTAAACTGTTGGCAGAAGTATCCGCCTGTTTCAGCTCCAAGCAGGGAGAAAGGCTCTAGAAACATGGAGGCTGATTGGAAAGATGGTTTATTGATGAACAGGACCACATGGGTTTGAGATCCTGGGCAGCTGACAACATGGAGTGGGGCGAGCATTATTTATATATCCTCTCTTGGGCCTTGCCCTGGAGCTTGCTGTTCCTGTGCAAGAAATGTATTCTATTGGCTTCTGTCAGACTCCCATGGGGCTATGCAGTAGTCATAGCTGAGGTCGTCTGAGATAAGTTAGGTTGAAGTTACTCGGTGTGGTGCAACTGAGAGGATGGGAAATATAGGGGAATACAATATTCTGCCTTTTTAAATATTTCTCAAAATACTTCATTCTTCTGGGAGGGGTGGAAACCAAGGGAAAGGAACCATGGGGGAACACAATGTTGCCATCAGGCGGGAACAAAGCGTACCTCCCTTGTGGACCACTGAAGCCACTTCTTCATCTTGGGGGATGAATAATTTGGAGGATAACTCTCCAAATTATATTTGCGACTGAGAGAAGGTTGAAGAGTGATGCTTGACCCTTCTTACCTTCACAAGATTAGCCAGGTGCTGCATCATAAAAGTTGATCGAGGTCTTGTTTGTATGTGCAGCCTTAAACGATTGTCAGGTTCATATCCCTTTAATAGAAGAACGAAATACGGGACAAAACCTTGAAGGGCCCACCCACATTGCTTCCAAACCCATCTAGATAGGAGATAATATTTTTCCAACTGCATTCTTGCAGCTGGAACTGCCAGGATTACCCTCACTAAGCAGTGTGGTCACGTGATGTCACTTTCTATTGTAGCAGCAAATCATGTTTCCAAAACAGGACTCAAGACCACGAAAAGGTAGAAGAATACAGGTTTATTTGTGCAAAGCGTTCAGAGCATTAGCGTGACAAATTCTGAACCCCCAGTTCTTCCTGGGATGGTTCCTTTATACCCATCATGACGATGAGAGGAATTTTGTGTGAAACACTTCTTACAATCTGGGCATTTGAATGGTTTCTCCCCTGTGTGTAACCTTACATGATTTTTAAGGCTAGACCTGATACTGAAATCTTCCCCACAATCTCTATCCTTTGCCTCATCTCCTTTACAACCCCTCTAGCAGCCTAATCCTCTAGCCCAGTGATCCCCAACCTTTTTTACGCCGCGGCCCGGTATCCCCAACCTTTTTTATGGCGCGGCCCGGTACCGGCATTAGCTGGGCGCCGCCCTCTTTTTTTGATGAAAAAGTGCTTCCGGTGAGCTTTCTACCCGGAAAAGCTCACCGGAAGCACTTTTTCATAAAAAAAAGATGGCGGCGCCCAGCAAGCCAGCGGCCCGGTAGGACTTGTTCCACGGACCGGTACCGGTCCACGGACCGGTGGTTGGGGACCCCTGCTCTAGCCCACCCTCAGTACACTAGCAATGTACTGTACTGTATCCAATGCTTTCTAAGGCACGAGTGTCGTTCATTTGTAGACCGCCATCTAGTGACATAAGGTTGAAAAACACGCTCGTTCTATTTCCCCTCTAAAGTTTGCAAAATGTTTTCATCAATTCTGTGGTTCCTTCTGAGCCATCAAGCCGTATTTGACTCCCGCAGAGCACAGGAATAGATTTTATAGTGTGGAGCAAACCAAACTGCCCTACTAGCTCCCAGGTTCTCCTCTGACCTATCCTAAACTCACTATCCATTTGATGCTCACTCCCCAAAACTAGCTTTGCAAGTGAGGGAAGCATGAAGAGTGATGCTTCACCCTACTTACCTTCACAAGATTAGTCAGGTGCTGCATCATAAAAGCTGATAAAGATTGTGGTTGCCTCGGCTGCTTACGAAAAAAACATTTGGAGGGCACTACTTTGTTGAAAGTTGATCTAAGGAGTCTTGAGCTTTAGCCATTGGCTCTCAATTCCTCTCCCAGGCCCAGAACGGAGGAGGCCTGGAGACCAGCCACTTGCCTGGAACTCTCATTTGCTGGCCTGCTTTGACTGGGATTCCTACCTCTTTCCACATCCAAATCACACGAGGTCCTCAATTAATGACCTATGGATCCTGGAGTTGCAGTGGCAACTGGAAATTAGAAGATTGTCCTCACTAAGCAGTGTGGTCATGTGATGTTATTTTTTTTATAACCTCATTATATAGCAATGTAAATTCTGACACCAATTACTTTCACAACCTGAGAACTACCATTTCCCCTGCCCCAAGTGTAGGAAGAGTCATTTCCAGGAGTGGGATTCAAATTTTTAAACAGCCGGTTCTGTGGGCGTGGCTAGGTGGGCATGGCCATGTGACTGGGCGGATGTGGGTTCTTCTTTTTTTTGCAGCACACACACACCCGAGCTCTGGGTTTTTTTGCCTCCTGGGCCTCAGGGAAGCCTCAGGGGGGGGGTCATTTTTGCTCCCAGGATGGCAAAAAAATGGAATGCAGGGGTGTGTGTGTGTGGGGGGGTGCAGCACACTCCCCACCACCACACAGCCCTTTTTTCCTCATGGGCCTCAGGGAAGCCTCCTGGGCAAAGCTGTAAGACAGCGAAGGGGATCCCGGCACAGCTGATCGTCTAAACAGCTGATCGTCTAAACAGCTGATCGTCAGGAGACAAAAAAAACTTAAGGAGTGACTGGTTGGGGGAGAATGCAGTCAGCGATGCCGCGCATGCGCAATATGGACTGACTGGGCAGGGAGGGGAGGGCAGAGAGGGGGTGGGGCACGATTTCTATAGAACCGGTCCAAATCGGTGGAATTCCACCCCTGGTCATTTCCCCCCTTTTGGACAGTTGGTATCCTGACCGTCTTGATACCTTCAACGGTAATGCACAAGAAAATCAAAATAGGTTTTCCTAGCAGAGGAGTTCAATGCTTTGCTGCAGATTAAGATCCCTTATAAGTGCAGCTGAAGAGGGCCATGAAAGGTTGGCAGCCTGGGATTTCAGCTCACTCTCTGCTTACAGTTCTGACTTTGTCTCCCACAGAAAGGGCTGTGTAGGAGAAAGGCACCTGTGACCTCCTCAGTCTGGCTCCTGCTTGAGAAGATCATGGCTGGTGGAGGGTCTTGCACAGATTCAGCTATTGCACCAATTGGGCCCTTTCCTAGATTAGGGAAGCCTTGCACATGGGTCACTCATGCCTTGGTCACCTCCTATTGGATCACTGCACGGAGCACCCAGAAACTTCAACTGGTCCAGAATGCAGCAACACACACTTAAAGGCAGTCCCTAGATTGTATATATGTAACACCTTTCTTGTGCACATTGTACTGGGTTTGTTTCTTGACATGTGCAAATGAAGGTGCTGCTCATCAACTTTAAGGTTATGTGATGACCCAGGGTACTGTACAAAGAATCACACAACAGCTGGCAGTTCAAACCACCCCTTTATTGCCTCAAAAGTTCTTCAAATGCTCCGACATTTCTGGCAAGTCTCGAGCAGAAGGAGAACAAAACCCCACACAAACCTCAAGCAGCTTCTGGCTGCAATTAGTCCAGCCCAGCGCTGTTTGCTGGTCAGCAATAAATCGAAAGGTAATTGGCAAATCGAGGGCAAATCAAGGAGTCCAAGGAACAAAAGTTCTAGGTGATTAGTCCAGAACAGTGGTCCCCAACAACCGGGCCCCGGACCGGTAGCGGTCCGTGGATCATTTTATACCGGGCCGCCTATTTTGCTTGGGCGCCGCCATCTTGTTTCGACGGCGCTTGAGGAAGTGCTTCCGGGTGAGCTTGTCGGTCGTCGGTTGGATAGCGGCGTTTCGCGCCTTAGTTTCGTCGAAGGGTGGGGGGCTTCGAACGAAGAGCCATCCCGATGGCGGTGGAGTCTCGCGTTACTCAGGAGGAGATTAAGAAAGAGCCCGAAAAGCTCATCGACAAAGGTACAAAGGAGGAGTTGAAGGTGGCGGGGAGAAGCGGGGGATGGCTGGCTGGCCGGTCGCTCGGCTCGCCTTGCCTTGGTCATGTGTCCTGATGCCGGTACCGGTCCGTGGATCATTTTGTGATGCCGGTACCGGTCCGTGGTACAAAAAAGGTTGGGGGCCACTGGTCCAGAACACCCACAGGAATGCAAGGACTCTTGGCCAGTTCAACCATCAGGACACACACTTCAGAAACTCAGTGTTTGTTCATGACAAATGCACCTCCCTACAGCACCTCCTTAAGTCTGATCCCCCACCCCACCCATGTGGGGTGAAGGTGGGCAGGGCACTCTCCTCACTCATAGACTACTCCATCTGCGCTGACCACACCTCCTCTCCACTCACCTTCCATCAGGAGGGAATGGTCCTAACTCCTCACCTGAGCTCTGTCCCTCCCTGCCTGCAGGCCTTACTGAAAATCCTTGCCTGGACTGACTTTGCCCAGTTTCCGCCAAGGCCAATGGAGTAGCCCTTTCCATGCCTGGCATTTCTTGTTCCAGCTTATATTCCTCCACAGATTCCGATTCTGATGGGGGCATGACATGTTATTTCTTTATTATAGCAATAGCGCTTAGAATTATATACCACCCACAGTGCTTTATAGCAGGGGTCACCAACTTTTTGGACCTCAGGGATCACCAAACTCATAATTTTATATCCCAGGGACCACTAATATGATTTTTGACTGTCGGTGGCTTGCTGACGTTGGTGGAAGAGAGAGATAGATCTGATCTAACCTCTCTCTCTCCCTCACACACACAAACACATAGAGGGGTGGGATTCAAATTACTTAACAACCTGTTCTGTGGGCATGGCCTAATTTGTGGGTGTGGCTTGGTGGTCATGTGACCGGCTGGGCATGGTTTGTATGTAAATATTATATTTATATAAATATTGAAGTTTTGATAAAAAATGAGCAACTTTTATCCAAAATCAGGCAGATTGAGTTGTTTACAGAATCACAGATTCACTTAGAGATCTGTGTTTCTGCCATTGGCTACCTGAGTCTGCACTGCTTCAGTCCTAAGGAAGGTTCGGCTCTGCTTAAAAGTAGAGCTGAAGATCTAAAGATTAGCTAGAAAGCAAGAAATCCAACAATTTCCTGCTTTCTAGCTAATCTAAATCTCCCGGCACAGCAGAACAGCTGATGGTAGGAAAAAAGAAAAATAGCAACTTAGCAGGCAAGTTTGCCAGGTAAGGAGGGAGTGGGCGGGAAGGGTGAGCCATGTGGGTGGAGCAGCCTTGTGTTCCTGCGCAGGAATTTTATATCCCAGGGTGCTCTGGGGGTGACATTTCTCTGCGGACCACCAAAATTTTCTCACGGACCACCAGCGAGCTAACAGCCCACTGGTTGGAGACCACTGCTTTATAGTACTTTTGGTTAATTGTCCCCAACAACCTGGGTCCTCATTTTACTAATCTCAGATGGAAGGCCGAGTCAACCTTGAGCCGTCAGAATCAAATTCCGGGCTGCGGGCAGAGTCAGCTGTCAATACTACATTCTAGCCACTGAGCCACCAGGGCACCTGTCATTATTTTTCCACCTTTATTATTTTTCCATTTAACTCTTCTACCAGGTCAGATAGGGTAGGCATACTCAAATCTCTTCCCTTAAATATTGCTATTGGATAGGAGCTAGGAAGTTAGTATTTTCTGTTGCAGACCCTGCCTTATGAAACACTCTCCCCTCCCCCCCCCAAAGTTTGGCAGGCTCTTAGCCTCCTAGTCTACTGAAACAAAGGAAGATCTAGGAAAGTATTACACTTAGGCAAGAAAAACCAAAAGTACACATGTAGACTGGGTGAAACCAGGTGTTCTGACCCAGCTCTCCAAACATGACAAACCCTCTGAAGTTAATTCAAAGATTCCTTTATTAGGAGTGCTGGTCACTACAGTATAGAAGGTTTTGGTCACTACATTATAAAAAAGATGTTGAGACTCTAGAAAGTGTAGAGGAAAGCAACCAGGATGATTAGAGGACTGGAGGCTAAAACATATGAAGAATGCTTACAGGAAATGGGCTTGACTAGTCTAGTGAGAAGGACCAGGGGAGACATGATAGCAGTCTTCCAATATCTGAGGGGCTGTCACAGAGAGGAAGCGGTCAAGCTATTTTCCAAAAGGCACCTGAAGGCCAGACAAGGAATAATGGATGGAAACTGAAAAGGAGAGATTTAACCTAGAAATAAGGAGAAATTTTCTGACAGTGAGAACAATCAACGGATGGAACAATTTGCCTTCTGAAGTTGTGGGAGTTTCATCACTGGAGGCTTTCAAAAAGAGACTGGACTGCCATCTGTCAGAAATGGTGTAGGGTCTCCTGCTTGGGTGGGGGGAGGTTGGACTAGATAACTTTTCAATTCTGTTAATCCGTTATTGCCTGTTAGTAGTTCCCCTATAGGGTCTGCTGCATAAATCCATCCCATCTTCCCCCCACCATGCCCCTTGGAAAACTACAATGGTGATCCAGCCCTCAAAGAAATAGTTTGATACCCTATAGGGTCTGCTGTTTGAGTAGGGCGTTGGACTAGATGACATAGAAAGTCCCTTCCATCTCATCTCATCATCTCATCTCTCGAATTCCTCATCTTTGATGCTAAGACAAGTTTCACTAGAAAGAATCATACAAGTAATTAAATCTTTAATTGTTCAGCTGGGTTTCCAATGCGAGACAACAAATGAAATGAAAGATTCCGCTACAGACATTAAATGTTGCCTCCTGTGAAATTTCATGTGTGATAAGGCAGGAAATTTGTGTGAAACACTGTCTGCAATCCAACTATTTGAATGGTTATTCCCCTATGTGTAACCTTACATGATTTATAAGGCTAGTCCTATAACGGAAATCTTTCCCACAATCTGGACATTCATATGGTTTCACTCCTGTGTGAGTCCTCAAGTGTATCACCAAACTGGAATTCCAACTAAAACTTTTGCCACATTCAAGACATTCATATGCTTTCTCTCCCGTGTGAGTCCTCTGGTGTTTCACCAAGTAGGAATTGTAACAGAAACTTTTCCCACAATCTCGACACTGATATGGTTTGTCTCCTGTGTGTGTTTTCTGGTGTATCACCAGAGAGAAATTCTGACTGAAACTTTTCCCACAATCTCGACACTGATATGGTTTTTCTCCTGTGTGAGTTTTCTGGTGTATCACAAGGTGAGAATTCTGATTGAAACGTTTCCCACAATAAAGACACTCATATGGCTTCTCTCCCGTGTGAGTTCTCTGGTGTCTCAACAGCTTGGAATTCCAAGTGAAACTTTTCTCACAATCAGGACACTCATACATTTTCTTTCCAGTGTGAGTCCTCTGGTGTTCGACCAGGTAGGAATTCTTACTAAAACTTTTTCCACAATCTGAACACTCATAAGGTTTCTCTCCAGTGTGAGTCCTCTGGTGTATCACCATGTTAAAATTCTGATTAAAACCTTTCCCACAATCTGGACACTTATATGGTTTCTCTCCTGTGTGAATCCTGTAATGTCGCAAAAGGAAGGCATTTTGAATGAAACTTTTCCCACACTGCAGACACTCATAGGGTTTTTCACCTGTGTGAGTCCTCTGGTGTTTCACCAGGTAAGAATTCTGACTGAAACTTTTCCCACAATACAGACACTCATATGGTTTCTCTCCTGTGTGAATCCTCTGGTGCTTTACCAGGTCAGATTGCCAAGAGAAATCTTTCCCACACTCTGGACACTCATACAGTTTCTCTCCAGTGTGAGTCCTCTGGTGTTTTACCAGGTCAGAATTGCAACGGAAACCTTTCCCACAATAACATTTATATGGTTTTTCACCTGTGTGAATCCTTTGGTGTATCACCAGATGAGAATTAGAGTTGAAACCTTTTCCACAATCTGAACACTCATACAGTTTCTCTCCTGTGTGAGTCTTCTGGTGTTTCACCAGGTCAGATTTCCAAGAGAAATCTTTCCCACACTCTGGACACTCATAGGGTTTCTCTCCAGTGTGAGTCCTCTGGTGTTTCACCAGGTCAGAATTGCAAATGAAAACTTTCCCACAATGACATTTATATGGTTTTTCACCTGTGTGAATCCTTTGGTGTACCACCAGATCAGAATTAGACTTGAAAACTTTTCTACAATCTGAACAATCATACAGTTTGTCTCCCATGTGAGTCTTCTGGTGTTTCACCAGGTAGGAACTCTGACTGAAACTTTTCCCACAATCACAACATTTATATGGTTTATCCCCCGTGTGGGTCTTCTGGTGTTTTGCCAGGTAGGAATTCTGACTGAAACTTTTCCCACATTGACATTTATAGGGTTTCTCTCCTGTGTGAGTCCTCTGATGTTTCACCAGGTCAGAATTGCAACTGAAACCTTTCCCACAATCTGAACACTCATACGGTTTGTCTTGCATGTGAGTCCTCTGGTGCAACACCATGTCAAAACTCTGACTGAAACTTTTCCCACAATCTGGACACTTAAATGGTTTGTCTCCTGTGTGAGTCCTATGATGTCGCAAAAGGAGGGAATTTTGAATGAAACTTTTTCCACACTGCAGACACTCATATGGTTTTTCACCTGTGTGAATCCTTTGGTGTATCACCAGATGAGAATTAGACTTGAAACCTTTTCCACAAACTGAACACTCATACGGTTTCTCTCCCATGTGAATCCTCTGGTGTTTTACCAGATCAGAATTCTGAGTGAAACGTTTCACACAATCAGGACATTCGAAGATTTTCTCCCCAATGTGAGTCTTATTGTGTCTCACCAGATTGGTTTGCATGCTAAATTTTTTGCCACATTGTGAGTACTGGAAGAGCTGCTCCTCCTGCATCGGCCACTCCATGGGTCATGGGAGTCCTATTCTGAGTAAAGCTTTTACTGCACTCCAATCATTTGTAGGGGTTTCCAAGGGATGGATCCTCCTGTGAATAATTTAACTGTGATCTGCAATCTGTGTTTTTCCCAAAATAGGCAGTCTGTGGGGTCTTTCCAACATGGATATTCTTGCATTCATGAAGGGGGCAAAAAATATTTCTGATCCCTTATCTGGTGGTGCTTTGATTCAAAACACTCTTTTCTTCCTCAATGGCTTTCATTAATGCCTTTGGCTATCCAAGGGATCTTTTCCATTTCACACTTTTTTCAAATTTGCTAATTATATAATTATATCTTTTTACTTTTCATGCAATGTTTTCTTCAATTCCACATAATCTATTTTTCTACCTGAAAATCCTGTCCCTGTTAATCTCTCCTTTATCTCCCTCCATCTACTGTGGAAAGAGAAGAGTTTTAACACTTTCTGGAAGAAGTGGGAAAGATTTTGATCGATGGTTTGTTTTGCCTTTTAGTGCTGCTTCTCATTCTTGTTTTCAGACTGCTCTTCTTGGCAGCCTCTTTGTCTATAAGATTCATATGAATGGATTGGTTTTGTTACTATTTAAAAATGGCTGCAGAACCTGGGGGGAAAGGCAAAAAAAAGCATCCATATATTACCATGAAAAAGCAAGAATATCAAAATGCCTGTTTGACCTTTAACATTTAATATGATTCATTAAGCACATAGAAGAGTAGCAAAATCCAACTTCAAATATCCACTCATATTTCAAATCATAAAATTCTAATTTGCTTGGGTAAATCACAAATTATTATCATTGCAAGCTGTTATTAAAATTACCTGCAAACACTGAGGTTTATATATATGCACACATAAATACACACCTCTAGGTACAAAAACTATGTGTCTTCAAAATATTTCAGAAATGGATTTCACTCGATTTGTTTGATCTAATTTAAGAAAGGTGGGTACACTAACAGATGAAATGGTGCCCAAATCCTAGGCAAGACTTAAAGCATTAGGTTTTTTGCCCATAAAACCCCTCGCTTGCCAGGAAAGCAACGAGTCAATAACATCACAAGGAATCAAGTGTGACGCGGAGACCGAAGGAAATAGAAATATGAAAGAAAAAAATACTGTTTAAATCTTCCATTGGTAAAATCACAGGCAGCAATTTTAAATCATGCAGCAAAAGAATAACAACATTTGGGGAGAGAAAGAATATGCAGCCGCCGCCAAAAGGTTTCATTCTTGTCCCTTCGCTGCTTCATGCACCGTGGAGGAACCCAAAGGGCCCGACTTGCTCCCGGCTTCTCCTCCGACCTGCCCTCCACTCACCTGCCAGGAGCCGCTTCGACCCTCCAAGTAGCACAAGAGGCTCCTCCGACGCCATCATCCTCCCCCGGGTGACCCGGAAGATAAAGTCCCTCTTTATTTCTTCAAATCCTCTCTAGCAATCCAATCCTCTATCGTTTCGACTCGTTCCATCTCCGCCTGTAGCCCACCCCCAGAAAGAGACATCCCTCCCCCTTCTGGACAGTTGGCATCCTGACCAGCTTTATACCTCCAACAGTAGTTTGCATAAGAAACTCATGACAGGTTTTCCTGGCAGAGGGGTTCAAGGCTTTGCTGAGGATTAAGCTTTTTTCTAACTGCAGCTTAAGAGAGTAATGCAAGGTTAGCAGCCTGGAACTTCAATTCACCCTCTGCTTGCAGCTCTGACTTTGCCACCCACAGAAAGGGTTGTACAAGAGAAAGACACCTGTTGTGGCCCGCTGGTGACTGGCGGAGCTGGCAGCAGAGTTGGACAGTAGTGAGGAGGTTGGATAGGAACATAGGTCAGTCCTGGAGGCTGAGGAAGATTCGGATGACAGCTCTGAGGCAGAGGTGAGGCCAGGACAGGCTGGCAGCAGCGGGGGAGCTTCTGGAACTGGTTCCCAGCCTGCACATGTGCAGAGCTGCCAAAAGGAAGGCACAATTAAGAACTCTGGGGTCGATGTGGAAGTAAGGCCACAGGTGGATGATAAATGGCCCCTCCCACCAGGATTAAAAGAGAAGCAAAAGGGGAGGGGCTTTTGCAGGAAACAAATAGCTCGTTCGGTTGTTCCAGCTTCGTGAAGATTTGTCTGTATAACCCAGGCCTTCCCTGTCAGCACTGAGTGTGGAATTTGATAAAGAGCTGAGCTAATTAGTATACCTTCACAAGACTGCCAAGGCGTTGGCTGACTGTGAATGAAATAAATTCACATTAATGTGATAAAAGAGGTTTTTGCCGGGACTCAGAATTGGCATTGGTTTTTGGAAGGCCTAGGACAGAACAACACCTGGGGCATTTTCACTCTGGGTTCAGGCCAGGGCACATCACCAAAATGGCATTGGTTGCAATTCTCATCAACTTTTGGAGGGTTTGAGATAGACAGGGTACAACCATTATGTCTTTTCTAGACCTCTCATGAGGTTTCAATTCTATCAACTACTGCACAATATGCTTCTGGATCTGCTATTGTGATGGGAAATGGGAGGTAAATTATTATGGTGATTCTATTTCCAGTCAATGTGCATAGAAGAGGGACCAAGTCTCGGCTACTGAAAGTGAGGTGTGCCAGGGTTCAAGCCTTTTGCTGCTGTTTTTCAACATTTGCATGAAACTGCCAGGGGAGGCCATCCATCCTGAGACCCAATTATGTAGACATAATCTGGGTCATATAACATCTAGGGACCATTGGAAGTTATAATAGCTCCGAAAAAATTTGACATTATTTTTTTCCTCATAACCATTGCAGCATCGCCATTGTCCTATGATCAAAACTCAGACATTTGGCAATTGACTCATATTTGTGATCAGTGTCCTGGGGCTCATGTGATCCCTTTGTCAACTGAGCTAGTGCACAACCTGGGAATCTTCTTGGACTCACAGCTCCTGCTTAAAAAGATCATGGCTGGGGGAAGATCTTTGCACAGATTCATCTGGTGCACCTGGACCAAGGGAGGCCTTGCACATGGGTCACTCATGCCTTGGTCACCTCCTGTTTGGATCACTGCACTGGACCACCCAGAAACTACAACTGGTGCAGAATGCCGCAATGCACACAGTAATGGAGGCCCTTAGGTTGTCCACGTAACATCTTTGCAGTATGAGCTGCATTGGATTCATTCCCTTACAGGTGCAATTCAAAGTCATCACATTTAACATTATTTCATTATTACAGCTATAACACTTAGACATATATACCACCCTACTGTGATTTATAGTACTGTTGGTTTAATGTCAGCATAATACTCCAACAACCTGGGTACTCGTTTTACCAATGTCAGAAGGACGGAAGGCTGAGTCAACCTCGAGCCCCGTCAGGATCGAATTCCAGGCTGTGGGCAGAATCAGCTGCAATACAGCATTCTAACCACTGAGCCAACAGGGTACCTGTCATTATTGTCCCACCTTTATTATTTTTGCATGCATCTGTTCTACAAGTCAGCTAGGATTAGCATGTTCCTAGCCTCTTCCTTTAATTATTGCTATTGGATAGGAGCTAGGAAGTGAGTCTTTTTCATGTCTTAGGCCCAGTACTCTTCAATATCTTCATTAACGACTTAGATGGGGGAATAGAAGGGGAACTTACCAAATTTGTAGATGATACTAAGCTGGCAGGAATAGCTAACACCCAAGAAGATAGGCTCAAGATCCAAATGGATCTTGACAGACTAGAACACTGGGCTGTATCTAACAAGATGAAATTCAATGTAGAGAAAAGTAAAGTCCTACACCTAGGCAAGAAAAACCAAAAGTACACATATAGACTGGGTGAACCCAGGCTCAATAGCAGTAACTGTGAGAGGGATCTTGGAGTCTTAGTGGACAACCAGCTAAATATGAGCCAGCAATGTGCAGCCGCCGCCAAAAAAGCTAATGCAATCCTAAGTTGCATTAACAGAGGGATACAATCAAGATCAAGTGAGGTACTAATACCACTCTAGAAAGCCTTAGGAAGACAACACCTACTGCATCCAGTTTTAGTCACCACACTATAAAAAAGATGTTGAGTACAGAGAAGAGCAACCAGGATGATTAAGGGACTGGAGACTAAAACATATGAAGAACAGTTGCAGGAACCGGGCATGGCTAGTCTAGTGAAGGACCAGGGGAGACATGATAGCAGTCTTCTAATATTTGAGGGGCTGCCACAGAGAGGAAGGAGTCAACCAGCCAGGAGTGGGATTTGGGGGTTCTCTGAACTGCACAAAATCTTAGCTAGGTGCTCTCCCCCCCCCCAAACCCCCCAGCAGCCCACCCCTAGCTGTCACCCCAACCCAGCTCTATTGCATTTCTCTGTCACATTTCTCACTGTCGTTTGCAGGGAAACGAAAGTTGGAAGGACTAAAAAAAATGCACGCAACAGCATTTTGCCTTTGTCACAGTACATTTGCTGTTGCTGCCTCCACAGCCTCCTCCCTACTCTTCACAGTGCCATGCGCAGCACAGTGAAATCTACTGCAGTGCCCCAATTGGGACCCGTCATCGTCTCAGCTCGCTCCGGCCTCCCGGATGTCAGTTTCCTGCAGAGCCGCCTGTGTTGGGATACCCACATATAACAACACAAAGGCCAAAAAATGAATAATACAACTACTGCAAATTCCTTAGCGAAGTGCATCTCGCTGCTGTTGGGCAGAATTCTCCTGACTGAAAGATACAAATGTGAAAAAGGCAAAACGTTGGAAACGTGGTTGGACTTTATCCTGGGGGGAGGAACATCAATTTTTTTCTTTAAACAGGCCACTAAGAAATTAAAGAAATGCGGAAAGTAACAACTTGAATCTGAATTTCAAGTAATCTGCTAGTTAGGTGCGGAATTAAAAAAAAATTTTTTTACGAACTCAAATCTGAAGTTTTTTTGCCCAAATATGAGGGAGGAGAAATTATGAATTTCCTTTGGGCTGAGAAGTGTGACTTCATGCCTGAGGAATTATGCTCAATCTGGAGTTTGGGAGAATGGGACCAAGAGAGTGAACTTGGCGCATTTAATTTCACTGCATAGAGCTTTAAAATGTTTGGTGCTGCATACTTGCACTTGGGTGATTTTATTTCTGCTCCAATACTGACACATTTAATGTTTAATTTTGATTAAGCTCAGGGGTTCCTTCCTCTCCCCAGGTGGGGGACAGGGAAGGAGGGAGGAATAGAGGTAGAGGGAGGAAAAGAGAAACAGAGGGAGGGAGAAACAGAAGGAGAGGGAGGGAAAGAGAAATGATATTACAAAAGTTTTTCTTTTTTATTGTTGCTAAATGTAGTATTTCAAAAGCAGGAAAAAAATGAAGGGCATGAAAGTGCATTTATCACGCTTTTCTTATAACAATTAGCTGAACTCTGCCTTATCATTATTTTAGGTAGTAAAACCTGAATATTCAGATTACATTGATGTCATTTTGCAATAAATACCGTATTTTTCGGTGTATAAGACCCATTCCTGCCCCAGAAGTGGATGGAAATGTCAGTGTGTAGTATACAGTGAATGTTGCTGAAGCCCCTCCCACCCACCCACCCATCCCACCCCTTTGGTCTCTGCCTCCCAGCAATTTGCCTCCTTGAAACAAACAGCAAAAAGCCCGGTCAGCTTCAGCACGGACTGATTTAGCACAAGCAGCTGATTGTCGTTTGAATCTGCCTCCCAACGATCAGCTGTTTCAGGATGCAGGGATCGCCCTATTGTCGCCTTTGCATGCCTCATGTTCAGCCTCCGATCTTGTTCCAGGTGACAGGGATCGGAATGGGCTGAAAATGGGGCGTGTGGAGGCGGCAATAGTGGTCCCAGCTGCCTGAAACAGCTGATCGTCTGGAGGCAGATCCAACTGACAGCTGCTTGTGCTAAATCAGGCTGTGCTGAAGCTGACCAGGCTGTTTGCTGATAGGAGGCAAATGGCTAGGAGGCAGAAGCAGATTTTTCTTGTTTTCCTCCCCAAAAGTTAGGTGCATCTTATACCTCTGAGCGTCTTATAGTCTGAAAAATATGGTAAGTGGATTTTGGATTGCAGCGTGGGTACTCAATCTCTAAAATATTTGCCATTACTGTATAGTCTCCTTCTTGAACATTGTGTTGGACTAGATGACATCTACAAAATCCCTTCCATCTTATCTCATGTATTTCTCATTTTTGATACCAAGACAAGTTTCACTAAAAAGAATCATGCAAGTAATTAAATCTTTTAATGTTCAGCTGGGTCTCCAATGTGAGACAACAAACAAATTTCAAGATTCTGGTACACAAGTCAAAGGTTGCCTTATGTGAAATTTCTTGTGTGTGATAAGGGAGGAATTCCGCGTGAAACACTTTCCGCAATCTGGGCATTTGAATGGTTTCTCCCCTATGTGTAACCTTACATGATTTATAAGGCTAGCCCTACTACTGAAATCTTTCCCACAATCTGGACATTCATATGGTTTCTCTCCTGTGTGAGTCCTCCAATGTATTACTAAACTGAAATTCCGACTGAAACGCTTCCCACATTCAACACACTCATATGGTTTTTCTACTGTATGAGTCCTCTGGTGTTTCCCCAGGTCAGAATTGCAAGTGAAACCTTTTCCACAAACTGGACACTGATATGGTGTGTTCCCTGTGTGAGTTTTCCGGTATATCACCAGATAGAAATTCTGACTGAAACTTTTCCCACAATCTGGACACTTATATGGTTTTTCTCCTGTGTGAGTTTTCTGGTGTATCACCAGGTTGGAATTTTGACTGAATTGTTTACCACAATCTGAACACTGATATGGTTTCTCTCCTGTGTGAGTTCTCTGGTGTCTCAAGAGCTTGGAATTCCAAATGAAACATTTCCCACAATCAGGACACTCAAAGAGTTTCTCTCCAGTGTGAGTCCTTTGGTGTTCCACCAGGTAGGAATTCTGACTAAAATGTTTCCCACAATCAGAACACTCATAAAGTTTCTCTTGTGTGTGAGTCCTCTGGTGTTTCACCATGTTAACATTCTGACTAAAACTTTTCCCACAATCTGGACACTTATATGGTTTCTCTCCTGTGTGAGTCCTGTAATGCCGCAAAAGGAAGGCATTTTGAATGAATCTTTTCCCACACTGCAGACACTCATACGGTTTTTCACCTGTGTGAATCCTCTGGTGTTTCACAAGGTAGGAATTCTGACTGAAACTTTTCCCACAATGACATTTATATGGTTTCTTTCCTGTGTGAATCCTCTGGTGTTTCACCAGGTCAGAATTGCAACTAAAATCTTTCCCACAATGACATCTATATGGTTTTTCACATGTGTGAACCTTTTGGTGTATCACCAGATCAGAATTAGACTTGAAACCTTTTCCACAATTTGAACACTCATACGGTTTCTCTCCAGTGTGAGTCCTTTGGTGTTCTACCAGGTAGGAATTCTGACTAAAATGTTTCCCACAATCAGAACACTCATAAACTTTCTCTTGTGTGTGTGTTGTCTGATGTTTCACCATTTTAACATTCTGACTAAAACTTTTACCACAATCTGGACACTTATATGGTTTCTCTCCTGTGTGAATCCTCTGGTGTTTCACCAGGTCAGATTTCCAAGAGAAATCTTTCCCACACTCTGGACACTCATAAGGTTTCTCTCCAGTGTGAGTCTTCTGGTGTGTCACCAGGTCAGAATTGCAACTGAAACCTTTTCCACAATGACATTTATATGGTTTTTCACCTGTGTGAATCCTTTGGTGTATCACCAGATCAGAAGTAGACTTGAAACCTTTTCCACAATCTGAACACTCATGCAGTTTCTCTCCCGTGTGAGTCTTCTGGTGTTTTTTCAGGATGGAACTCTGACAGAAGCTTTTCCCACAATCACAACATTGATATGGTTTCTCCCCCGTGTGGATCCTCTGGTGTTTTGCCAGGTAGGAATTCTGACTGAAACTTTTCCCACAATGACATTTATAGGGTTTCTCTCCTGTGTGAGTCCTCTGATGTTTCACCAGGTCAGAATTGCAACTGAAACCTTTCCCACAATCTGAACACTCATACGGTTTCTCTTGCATGTGAGTCCTCTGGTGCAACACCATGTCAAAACTCTGACTGAAACTTTTCCCACAATCTGGACACTTATATGGTTTGTCTCCTGTGTGAGTCCTATGATGTCGCAAAAGGAGGGAATTTTGAATGAAACTTTTTCCACACTGCAGACACTCATATGGTTTTTCACCTGTGTGAATCCTTTGGTGTATCAACAGATGAGAATTAGACTTGAAAGCTTTCCCACAATCTGAACACGCATACGGTTTCTCTCCCATGTGAATCCTCTGGTGTTTTACCAGATCAGAATGCCGAGTGAACCTTTCCCCACAATCCGTACATTCATGTGGTTTCTCTCTGTGGTGTTTCACCAGATCAGAACTCTGAGTGAAACGTTTCACACAATCAGGACATTCGAAGATGTTCTCCCCAATGTGAGTCTTATTGTGTCTCACCAGATTGGTTTGCATGCTAAATTTTTTGCCACATTGTGAGCACTGGAAGAGCTGCTCCTCCTGCATCGGCCACTCCATGGGTCATGGGAGTCCTATTCTGAGTAAAGCTTTTACTGCACTCCAAGCATTTGTAAGGGTTTCCAAGGGATGAATCCTCCTGTGAATAATTTAACTGTGATCTGCAAGCTGTGTTTTCCCCAAAATAGACAGTCTGTGGGGTCTTTCCAACATGGACATTCTGGGATTCATGAAGGGGGTGAAAAATACATCTGATCTGGTGGTGCTTTGATTCCAGACAGTCCTTCCTTCCTCAATGGCTTTAATGCCTTTGGCTCTCCAAGGGATCTTTTCTATTTCATACTTTTTCTGAATTTGGTAATTATATCTTTTTACTTGTCATGCAATGTTTTCTTCAATTCCACATAATCTACTTTTCTATCTGAAAATCCTGTCCCTGTTATATCTCCCTCCATCTACTGTGGAAAGAGAAGAGTTAAAACACTTTATGGAAGAAGTGGGTAAGATTTTGATCGATGGTTTGTTTTGCATTTTAATGCTGCTTCTCATTCTCTGTTTTTCAGACTGCTCTTCTGGCAGCCTCTTTGTCTGTAAGATTCATATGGATTCATTTCGTTACTGTTTAAAAATGGCTGCAGAACCTGGGAGGGAAGGCAAAAAAAGCATCCATATATTACCATGAAAAAGCAAGGATATCAAAATGCTTGTTTGATCTTTAACATTTAATATGATTCATTAAGCACATAGAAGAGTAGCAAAATCCAACTTCAAATATCCACTCACATTGCAAATCATGAAATTCTTGTTTGCTTGGTAGATCACATTATCATTGCAAAGTGCTATAAAAATACATGAAAATACTGAGGCTTATACAGATACACGTATATGCATACATAAGTACACACCTATAAATTTATCAAGGTACAAAGACTATGTGTATTTCAGTCTTCAAAATGTTTCAGAAGTGGATTCACTCGTTTTTTAAAATCTAATTTGAGAAAGGGGATACACTAACAGATGAGGTGGTGCTCAAATCCTATGCAAGATTTAAAGCATCCGAATTTTTGCCCATTAAACTCGTTTGTCAGAAAAGCAACATGTCAATAACATCTCAACGAATCAAGTGTGATGCGGAGACCGAAGGAAATAGAAATATGAAAGAAAAAATACTGTTTAAATCTTCCATTGGCAAAATCACAGGCAGCAATTTGAAATCATGCAGCAAAAGAATAACAACATTTGGGGAGAAAAAGAATATGCAGCCGCCGCCGAAATGTTTCATTCTTGTCCCTTCGCTGCTTCATGCACCGTGGAGGAACCCAAAGGGCCAGACTTGCTCCCGGCTTCTCCTCAGACCTGCCCTCCACTCACCTCCCAGGAGCCGCTTCGACCCTCCAAGCAGGACAAGAAACTCCGCCGACGCCATTATCCTCCCACGGGTGAACCGAAAGAGGAAGTTCCTCTTCACTTCTTCAAATCCTCTCTAGCAATCCAGTCCTCTATCGTTTCGACTCGTTCCATCTCCGCCTGTAGCCCACCCCCAGTAGACTAGCAATGCCACTACTGTACTGTATTCACTGCGTCCTACTCTCGAGTGTTTCCTGTTATCAGAGCGCCACCTAGTGACATAAGGCTGAAAACCACGCTCGTTCTCTTACCACTCTAAAGCGTTTGCGAGAGGCCTTCATCGATTCTGTGCTTCCTTCTGTGCCATCAGTTCTTATTCGACTCCCATCGAGCAGAGGCATAGCTATCGTCCATGATAATCTATCCTAAACCTTTTCTTCCAGGTCTCCCAAGAGTGCACTCCTTGTCCCTCTTGTTCGAACTAAACCAAAGGAAAGAGTCCTAGTGGGGAAATAAGGGGCAAATAGCCAAGGAGAAAGTACACCTCCCTTTTGCTATTCCAGGCAGTGCTTGTTAGCTAAAGTGATCAGTGGCAGATCAGTCCCATAATATTGCCCAAAAAACAACATGTCCGTAAAATCCCAAGGAATCAATCTTAAATTGAAGGAGAGTTTTAAAATCTTCCAACCAGCAGAACAATGTGAGCATCAGTTTTAAGGACTGCAGCACCAGTGGAATAAAATCTTGGGTGGGAAGGAATACTTAGTAGCCAACGAAGTTCAGCCTAGTTGATTCTCTGCTTTTACACCATGGAGCAAAACAAACAGTTCTACTTGCTTCCGGCTTCTCCTCTGACCTGTCCTAAACTCACCATCCACCTGATGCTAACTCCCCCAAACTACCTTTTCAGCTGACAGAAACTTGAAAAGTGATGCTTAACCCTGCTTACCTTCACAAAATTATCCAGGTGCATCATAAAAGCTGATAAAGGGTTTTTTATTTATTTGAAGCTTTATGATTGCAGCTTCATCCTACTAATAGAAGAATGAAATATGGGACAAAATTGTGAAGTGGTTTCCCAGGCAGCTTGTGAAAAACATTTAGAGGGCTGCTAGTATATAGAAAACTGATAGTCCTGGGCTTTAGCAATTGGCTCTCAATTCCTCTCCCAGGCCCAGAAAAGAGCAGGCCTGGAGAACACCCCCTTGCCCGTAACTTTCACCTGCTGGTCTGGAACTCCTAACTTTTCCCACATCAAAATCACTTGAGGTCCTCACTTAATGACCCACAGCAATGGAAATTTTGGCGCCAATTGTTGTCACAACTGAGAACTACCCCTTGGTTGTTGTTGTTTTTTTTTTTTACAAGCGCAGGAGAGGGTTGGAAGAGTAATTTGCCCCCTTCTAGACAGTTGGAATCCTTACTCGCTTTATACCTTCAACAGTAGTTTTCTATGCATAATAAAATCATGACAGGTTTCCCTGTCAGAAGAGTTCATGGCATTGCTGCAGATTAAGATCTTTTATAAGTGCAGCTGAAGAGGGTGATGAAAGGTAGGCAGCCTGGAACTTTCACTTACCTTCTGCTTTCAACTCTGCCTTTGCCACCTGGAGAAAGGGCTGTGCAGGAGATAGACACCTGGGTCTTCCCAACCTCGGTTCAGACCAGGACACATCACCAAAATGGCATTTGTTGCAATTGCCATGGACTTTTGGAGGATTTGAGATAGAAGGAGTATTGTGTCCCTCATTAGACCTCTCCTCAGGCTGCAATTCATCGAGCAGGATATCCTTCTGCACTGGCTTTGGGGACTGGAAATGGAAGGCACTTTATTAACGGTGGTTCTACTTCTGCCTCCATGGCTGGTTCCAAAAGGTGTGGGTAGTAGAAGACAGGCCGGGTTTTGGTCCCTGCAGTTTAGGGTGCCCTGAGGCTCAAGTCTTTCACTGTTCCTTTTTCACATCTACATGAAACCGCTAGGGGAGGCTATCCATAGTATGACATCCAATTATGTACAGGTAGACATTTCATATAACATTTCATGTAACAACCATTTAAACATATAAAGAATGGTTGCTGGAATTGGGAATGTCTAGTTTAATGAAAAGAAGGATTAGGGGTGACATGATAGCAGTGTTCCTATATCTCAGGGTCTGCCACAAAGAAGAGGGAGTCAAGCTATTCTACAAAGCACCTGAGGGCAGGACAAGAAGCGATGGGTGGAAACTAATTATGGAGAGAAGCAACTTAGAACTAAGGAGAAATTTCCTAACAGTTGGAACAATTAATTAGTGGAACAACTTGCCTCCAGAAGTTGTGAATGCTCCAACACTGGAAGTTTTAAAGAAAAGATTGGACAACCATTTGTCTAAGTAGGGGTTGGACTTGAAGACCTCCAAGGTCCCTTCCAACTCTGTTATTTTCTTCTATTCATTTGAAGTTACAACAGCACTCAAAAAAAGTGACTTATGATCATTTTTCACACTTACAACCTTCACAGCATCGCCATTGTCACATGATCAAAATTCAGACACTTGGCAATTAAGTCATATTTGTGACAGTTGAAGTGTCCTGGGATCATGTGATCACCTTTGTAGACTGAGCTGATGCACAATCTTTGGTTCCTCCTGGACTGAGAAGATCATGGCTGCGGGAGGGGCTTTACACCGATTCATCTGTTGCACCAATTGCGCCATACCTGGACCAGGGAGGCCTTGCACACGGGTCACTGATGCCTTGGTCACCCTGTTTGAATCCCTGCACTGGACCACTAGAAACTTCAAATGGTCCAGAACACAGCAGCACACACAGTAATGGAAGCCCCTAGGTTGCCCATGGAACAACTTCCTGTTGTGAGCTGCACTGAATTTGTTCCTTTACAGGTGCAATTCAAGGTCGTCCCCTTTAACAGCATTCTTTTATTATAGCAATAGCACTTAAGAGTTAATATACCACCCCAAAGTGCTTTATTATAGCACTCTTGGCTGAGAGTTAGCATATTGTCCCCAACAATCTGGCTCCTCATTTTACCGATCTCAGAAGGACGGAAGGCTGAGTCAACTTCAAGCCCTCTCAGGATCGAATTCCAGGCAGGGGGCAGAGTCAGCCAGCAATACTGCACTCTAACCACTGAGCCACCAGGGCACCTGTCTCTATTGTCCCACTTTTATTATTCTTGTACCCATCTGCTCTACCAGGTCAGATAGGGTGGCTACATTGCTCGCCCCTTCCCTTAGATATTGCCATCTGATAGGAGCTAGGAAGTGAGACTTTTCCATTGCAGACTCTTCCCTATGAAACACTCTTCCCCTTGAAGTTTGGCAGGCCTTTATCCTCCTGGTCTTCCGTAAAGCAAGGAAGTTCTAGCTTTTCCACTAAGCGCTGGGTTAATAAGAAGAGAGGACCGCATATCAGAAGCTTGAATTTACACCTGATTTTTCTTCTTATGTATTTGGTTTTAATATGGTTTTTTGAGTCAATGATTGATTGGGATTGGGAGCTAGCCAGAGTTTGTTACTACATGGGTGGCTACGTAAGTATTTTAAATAAGTCAGAGGAAAAAGAAATGAATCCAAAAGATGGCCCCGGTGAGGCTGCCCATCTATAACATTCTTGAGGCACCAAAGTTCAATGCATTTCTTCAAACAACTTTGTATACCGCTAATCCTGCAGTTTTTAACTTCTCCAGTTTAACTCCTTGCAAGGAGAAAGATTATCCATTTGGAGAAGGAATGGCAACAGGCGTGAATGTAGTTAGTAAGGCCAGGAGGCCTGTTTGACTTCTAATTTGCACAAAAGAATCACCTTTTGGGGACTCCCCGACATCAAAATGCCATCAACCTTGCTAGAACTGGCCTGTATTTGCAGGGTAAGTATATGTTAAATGTGGAGGCTTGTCATTTTGCTATTTGTTTGTTTCTGTGTTAAGGTTTTATTAATGTAAAAAAACGGGTATCAAACTTGATCACGTCCCAGGCTGGATCGTGATGTATCACATTTTTTACCTTTGCAGAGCTGGAACTAGAGGTGGTATATTCAGCAGGTTCTGACCAGTTCTGGAGAACCGGTAGCGGAAATTTTGAGTAGTTCGGAGAACTGACAAATCCCACCTCTGAGTGGAGATTTTACAATATCCTTCCCCTGTCATGCCCACCAAGCCATGCCCACACAACCGGTAGTAAAAAAAAATTTAAATTCCACCACTGGCTGGGACATATCCGGCCCACGGGCCACCAACTTGACGGGGCCTAGTGTAAACCACGTGGAATCACCTTGAGATGCATTGCCACATTCCTTTTGTTAATAAATAAAAATGCATACAAACATTCATGTTTATATCCCCCTTTATTATATGTAGAAATAACTCAAAGCAACAAGCATACCTAAGAGAGATGCAAGCTCCTTTACCAATCTACTCTGTGAAAGAGAGTGACCGTATTGGGCCAGGGAAAGGAAGTTCAGATCTCTTCACTCATGTTTGATACTAAGACACATTTGACTAAAAAGAATAAGGAAGGAAATTAAACAATTAGTATCTCAGCTGGCCATCCAATGAGAGACGAGAAACAAAGTTCAAGAGTCCTCTACACACATCGGATTTTGCCTCGTGTGGAATTTCTTGTGTTTGATAAGTGAGGAATTCCGTGTGAAACACTTTCCGCAATCTGGGCATTTGAATGGTTTCTCCCCTATGTGTAACCTTACATGATTTATAAGACTAGACCTACTACTGAAATCTTTCCCACAATCCGGACACTCATACGGTTTCTCTCCTGTGTGAGTCCTCCAGTGTATCACCAAACTGGAATTCCTTATGAAACTTTTCCCACACTCAAGACACTCGTATGGTTTTTCTTCTGTGTGAATTATCTGGTGTTTCATCAGGTAGGAATTGTGACTGAACCTTTCCCCACAATCCGAGCACTGATATGGTTTTCCTTCTGTGTGAGTTCTCTGGTGTTTCATCAGGTAGGAATTCCGAATGAAAAATTTCCCACAAAACAGACACTCATATGGTTTTTCTCCTGTGTGCGTCCTCTGGTGTATCACAAAGTCCAAATTCCGAATGAAACATTTCCCACATTCCACACACTCATATGGTTTTTCTCCTGTGTGAATCCTCTGGTGTTTCACCAGGTAGGAATTCTGACTGAAACTTTCCCCACAATCTGAACACTGATATGGTTTTTCTCCTGTGTGAATCCTCTGGTGTATCACCAGGTTGGAATTCTGACTGAAACTTTTCCCACAATATAGACAGTCATATGGTTTCTCTCCCGTGTGAGTTCTCTGGTGTATCACCAACTTGGAATTCCTAGTGAAACTTTTCCCACAATCTGGACACTCATATAGTTTCTCTCCTGTGTGAGTCTTCTGGTGTATCACCAAGTCGCACTTTCGAAGGAAAGTTTTCCTACATTCCAGACACTCATAAGGGTTTTCTCCCGTGTTAGTCCTCAGGTGATTCAATAGGTATGAATTTCGAATAAAACTTTTCCCACAAAACAGACACTCATATGGTTTTTCTCCTGTGTGAGTTCTCTGGTGTATCACTAAGTTGAAATTCCGAGAAAAACCTTTCCCACAATCACGACACTTATATGGTTTCTCTCCCATGTGAGTCCGCTGGTGTTTCACCAGGTTGGAATTCCGACTGAAACTTTTCCCACAATGACATTTATACGGTTTCTCTCCTGTGTGAGTTCTCTGGTGTTTCAACAGGTAAGAATTCTCTCTGAAATTTTTCCCACAGTCAGGACATTCAAAGGGTTTCTCTCCTGTGTGAGTCTTCTGGTGTTTCAACAGGTAGGAATTCTGACTGAAACTTTTCCCACAATCTGAACACTGATATGGTTTTTCTTCTGTGTGAGTTCTCTGGTGTAGCACCAGGTTGTAATTCCGAGAGAAACTTTTCCCACAATCACGACACTTATAAGGTTTCTCTCCTGTGTGAGTCCTCTGGTGTATCACCAGGTGAGAATTCCGAGTGAAACTTTTCCCACAATTAGTGCATTCAAAGTGTTTCTCCCCAGTGTGACTCCTCTTATGTCTCACTAGATTGGTGTGCATGCTAAATCTTTTGCCACATTGGGAGCACTAGTAGAACTTCTCTCCAGTATGGGTCATTGCATGAATCATGAGGAAGCTTTTCCGAGTCCAAACATTTGTATAGCTTTTCACAGGATGGATTATCTCGCACATAAGCAGCTGTGACCTGTAATCTGTCTTTTTCTCGCATTACGCAGTCTGTGCAGATTTTCCAACACTGATATGCTTGGACTCTTAAGGAGATCAAAAATATTTCTGATCTATTACTTGGAGGTACTTTGATTGAAGCCACTTTCCTTTCTCAATGGCATTAATTTATGTCTTGCCAGTTTTGGCTTCCAAGGAATACTTTTTCTTCTCACTGGTTTCCAAGTATTTCCAACTTTTTCTTTAATTGGAAATTATTCCCCTTGACTTCTCATGTAATAACCATACTGGTAGCAGTAGCATTCAGACTTATATACCGCTTTATAGTCCTCTCTAAGTGGTTTACAGAGTCAGCCTATTGGCCCCAACAATCTGGGTTCTCATTTTACACACCTTGGAAGGATGAAAGGCTGAGTCAACCTTGAGCCTGGTGAGATTCGATCTGCCAAATTGCAGGCTGCCAGCAGTCAGCAGAAATAGCCTGCAGTACTGCATTCTAACCACTGTGCCACTGCGGTTCTTGTTTCCTTCAATTCCACATGTTGTAATGTTTCTTTGAGTTCCACATACTCTTTCAGCCAACTCAAAACTTAATTCTTGTTATTCTCTCTCTTGTCTCTCATCTGCTGAGGAAGGAGAAGCGTTTTTACACTTTCACGAGGAAGTGGAATAGATTTTGTTTGTTTTGCATTTTAATACGGCTTCTCATTCTCTGTTTGTCCAGAGTGCTCTTCTTTGCATTCTCTTTGTCTGTAAGATTCAAATTAATACATTAATTTCACTATTGTTTAAAAAATGCCTGCAAGACATGTCAAAGCAGCAAACAAAACCCCATATATTGCCATGAAAACATCAATATTCTAGTTTAACCTCCAATTAGTTATGATTCACTTTGCAGATAGACTAACAAGATTCAAGTCAAATATTGACACAATTGTAAAATTCTCTTTTGGGGTTGGAGAGATCACACATATATGCACACAAATGCACACAGAAATACACATGAAAACATGTATCTAAGAATGCAAAATATCCCAGAAATGTGTTTTCTCATTTTTTAAAATCTAATTTTAAAAAGTGTGGACACTAAGAAATGAAATGGTTCCCAAATCCTAGGCAAGATATAAAGCATCCATTTTACCCATGACACTGTTTACTTGCCAGGAAAGCAACATGTCAATAAAATCACAAGGAATGAAGTGTAATTTGAAATATGAGTGAGATGGGCAGATATGAAATATTAAAAAATAAATAAATCTCCCAAATGTCAAATTCAGAACTGGGAGCCTTCTTGTAGGTCATCTAGCCCACCCACAGCTCAAGCAAGAGACCCTATATTATATAGGCTTAGGCTTAGGGCCTATATCATTTCAGACAAGTGGCTGTCCAATCTTTTCTTAAAAACTTCCTTTGATGAAGCACCCACAACTTCTGAAGGCAAGGCTGTTTTACTGGTTAATTGTTCTCACTGTTTTTCTTTTGTTTCTAATTTTGTTTTGAACTTGATTAGTTTGCAGCCATTGCTTCTTGTGTCACTTTCTGGTGCTTTGAAAATAAGTTGACCCTCTCCTCTTTGTGGCAGCCCTTCAAATGCTGGAATACTGCTATCGTGTCCCCGCTAGTTCTTCTTTTCCTTAGACTGAGCCAAAACCCAAATCCTGCAATCGTTCTTCAATATGTTTTAGTCCCAAGGCCTTTCAATTTTAGTGTCTCCCATTTTCCAGCAGAAAATTACAGGCAGCACATTTAAATTATACAGCATAAGTGTAATAACATTTGGGGGGAGAAAAAACATGCAGCAGCATGCGCAGAACATGCAGAGGGATACAATCAAGATCAAGTGAGGTACTAATACCACTCCATAAAGCCTTAGTAAGACCACACACCTAGAGTACTGCATCCAGCTTTGGTCACCACACTATAAAAAAGATGTTGAGACTTTAGAAAGAGTACAGAGAAGAGCAACCAGGATGATTAAGGGACTGGAGACTAAAACATATGAAGAACGGTTGCAGGAAGTCTAGTGTAGGACCAGGGGAGACATGATAGCACTCTTCTAATATTTGAGGGGCTGCCACAGAGAGGAAGGAATCAAGCTATTTTCTAAAGCATTTGAAGGCCAGACAAGGAATAATGGATGGAAACTGAACAAGGAGAGATTCAAACCTGGAAATAAGGAGAAACTTTCTGACAGGGAGAACAATCAACCCATGGAACAGCTTTGCCCTCGGAAGTTGTGGGAGCGCCATCACTTGAGACCTTCAAGAAGAGATTGGACTGCCATTTGTCAGAAATGCTGTAGGGCAGGGGTCTCCAACCTTGGCAAGTTTAAGCCTGGAGGACTTCAACTCCCAGAATTCCCCAGCCAGCAAAGCTGGCTGGGGAATTCTGGGAGTTGAAGTCCTCCAGGCTTAAA